TACTAGTAAGGCACCTTGCTCCTAGTAGCGATGCACTTGTTCCTAATAGCTTCTTGTTACTACTAGTAAGGCACCTTGCTCCTAGTAGCGATGCACTTGTTCCTAATGGCTTCTTGTTACTACTAGTAAGGCACCTTGCTCCTAGTAGCGATGCACTTGTTCCTAATAGCTTCTTGTTACTACTAGTAAGGCACCTTGCTCCTAGTAGCGATGCACTTGTTCCTAATGGCTTCTTGTTACTACTAGTAAGGCACTTGTTACTAGAAGCAATGCACTTGTTTCTAATAGCTTCTTGTTACTACTAGTAAGGCACTTGTTACTAGAAGCGATGCACTTGTTTCTACTTGCAGGACTCGTCTATCAGGTCTTCTACAATCCCTACAACCTGCCACTTCATCGTGCTTTAGGCACTGACATCGTGTGCACTCAGGTTGCATGCCATGGTAACAGTGTCTCGTCTTTCACCGCTCCTTTGTGAATTTGTACTGGACATGTGGTGGTTTGCTTTTGCCAAGTTGCAAGCTTGCAAGTTTCGTGGTTTGGCCGCCTTGCCCAAAATTATTGCGTTTTGTTCACCCTAAAGTCATTTTACAACCAGGCAGAATTATAGAACTTCCTGCTTCTTCTTTTGAGGTATTGCCTAGGGAATTTGTGTAAGAGGAGCCATTGACATCTGGCAACTCCTTCTGCAGGTTATGAGAATCCGGGCTATCCGCAGAGCCCCATGGAGACCGGTGTGTTGGCTGACATGCTGAGAGGCGGTGTTTGTGGCTTTTGCTGTTGACACATCCCTTGTTTGTGAAAGCATCCAAGTGTCATCCAAGTGCGGCATGTCGCCCTTTCTTCAACAGTTTGGTACCTGAAAAGCAAAAACATGATATGCTTTACACACCTTGTTCTCCAAGAAACAACAAACTTTTGGATTTGTAAATCACGCTGCTCTCTTGGACTGTGTCTTTGAGCAGGTGCTTTGCACCATGTGAAGTTCGAGTCGGTGCCCTCAACCTCCCTGGCTGCCAAGCGCCTCTATGTCCGACAGCCTAGATCTAGACTGACGACCTAGGACACCTAGGAGCAAGGATGCTACTAGGGGCTCCTGGCATCGCTACTAGGAGCATTCCTACTGCTAGGAACAAGAAGCTACTAAGGGCTCCTGGCCTTACTACTAGGAGCAAGGATGCTACTAGGAGCCGTTGCAGATGATTCCAGTGATTTTCGGAACAATTAAGTAGGCGCCTACCAACCTATTCATTGCAATAGCCTCCAACCTATTAGCAATGGCCTCCAACCTAATTGCAATGGCCTCCAACCTATTAACAATTTTCTCCAACCTATTAGCAATAGCCTCCAACCTAATTGCGATGGCCTCCAACCTAACAGCAATGGCCTCCAAACTAATTGCGATGGCCTCCAACCTACTAGAGATGGCCTCCAACCTAATAACAATGGCCTCCAACCTAACGGCAATGGCCTCCAACCTAATTGCCATGGCCTCCAACCTGATAGCGATGGCCTCAAACCTACTAGAGATGGCCTCCACCCAATAGCAATGGCCTCCAACCTAAGTGCGATGGCCTCCCTACTAGAGATGGCTTCCAACCTACTAGCGATGACCTCCAACACAGTCAAGATTCTTGAAGATGAAGGAGTCAAGATGAAGGCGATTTTAGTGGTGTTCAGTACACATAAAACACCTTCTTGCACCTGTCAGACTGTCATTCTGCAATCTTTGCTCTGGTAGGAGCAAGGACGCTACTAGGGGCTCCTGGCATCGCTACTAGGAGCATTCTTACCTAGGGGCTCCTGGCCTTACTACTAGGAGCAAGGACGCTACTAGGAGCCGTTTCCTCGCCTCCCACGTCAGCGAAGCCTCAGGTGACTGCGACACCGCTCTCGGATGATACAGGGTATGACCTTTACGCCGAGGACGGCGCAGGGCTCCAAGAATCGGTATTCAAGAAAAGCAAAAAGCATGAAATCAACAAACATAGAAGCACTATTGTGTCTTTCTTATTTCGATTTGTGTGCAAATAAAACAGAATGAATGCCTCGGCGCTGATTAACTGGACGCTTCTTCATCTCCCTGTGCCGCTGCAAAAATTATTCATAGTTATTCTGTATTTGAAGATTTGAAGATTTCCCCCATGCAGTGGAAGCACTATTTAAAGCAACACTCCTTACGGCTCCTCACAGCGACTTTTGTCTTTGATTGTGCGCAAGAATCAAAGAAACTGGTGTGGTATGAAGACCTGATGTCGAAATCAGGGAAAGACCAGTGAAGTACGTCTTTGCCTGGTCATGGATGCTCAGAACTGCTTTTTGACGTTGACAGTCATACCTCAATCATTTTCAAGTGATTCTCAGTCTCTCGTGCAGGAGATCACTGGTTATTTCATAGCGCCGTACACCGGGGTATACACCTTCTATCTTGCAGCTGATGATGAGGTCAGGATTCTGCTTGTGCGTATCACATGTGTCACAAGGTGATTTGCGAGTTACTTCTTTGTAGTAGTTAGTAGTTTTGTCGACGTTTTATCAAACCATCCGACCTGGTACCTCTAGATCAGTTTCCTGCTAGTTGAGCAACACGTCGTGGCAATTTCCATTCGGATCACACAGATGTTGCTCGTTATTACACTGTGGTAGTGGTATTGGTCAAATCTTCCAAGGCTGATTTGTCCCTGTCCAACAGCGACATGGCCGCCATGAAGGCATGGACTTGAATGAGTTGAACACAGGCAAACTGACAAGGACCTGGAAATCCCCGCAACATGTGAAGAATGACGCAGATTGTAGCTTCTAGCTCCTAGTAGCGATGCCAGGAGCCCCCTTCTTGCTCCTAATAGTGATGCCCGGAGCCCCTAGTAGTTTCTTGCTCCTAATAGTGATGCCAGGAGCCCCCTTCTTGCTCCTAATAGTGATGCCAGGAGCCCCTAGTAGCTTCTTGCTCCTAAT